GTGTCAACTTTTTTAAAAAAGCAAGTTAAATTCTAGACAGAAGATGCATTGGCATGTCTGGGGAGATGTGTGTGGCTTGAAAAAGAATAAGTCAACGTTGTAATTTTATATTTGGAAAATGAAAAGAAAAACCCTATTATTTTCATAATTCAAACTCTAAAAGGTGAAGCTACTCAACATGTTCATGGCGGGCACAGATACCAAGAGGAGCAACCACCATCTCATGAGTGGCCACACAGCAGGATCTCCAGGGAGGAGAGGTAATATATAAAATATAAATATTATATATTTAATATGCATAGATATATACATATTATGTATATTGCATATAATTTGTATGTGTATTTAATATGCATACTTTAAAAATCTGGAAAGTCATAAACCACAGCGTGAACAGTTGTTTTCTCAGGAACGTGGGATTGTGGGTGGTCTCTATTCTTTATATATACACTTGTAAATTTCCCTACTTGGGTTCTAAAAATTGACAAAACTTTTTAGAACTCTATCCAAATTGGAACCATCTTTTTGGAGAACAGTATATACCACAAGTCTTAAAAACAGGCATGCCTTTTGGACCAGTAATTTTACTTCTAGTAACGTACCTGAAAATAATAGATCTGCACTGAGATTTATGGACAAAGGTGCCCATGAAAGCATTGCTTATGCTGATGCAGCCTGGAAAATTAATTATCCAACAATAAGGGCAGATTAAATAAATGATGAGGGTATCCGGGATGATGGAGTGCCAGGGAGCTGTTAAAATTCATGGTATTGACCATCAAAAGCCCTGGGAGGACGTGCAGATGTATTATTAGGGAAAATCTCAAGTGATGATGAAAAGGCCAGGCTGTGAGACCCTGAGCACAGATGCCACCCACATCTGTGACACACCGACGACATCTCCGCAAAGACTCGATCCATATTTTTTGTTGTGGAATTCCATCCTGGATAGAAACAGTTCGGAATCTCTATCTCTACCCTATGTACACACACACACACACACACACACACACACATTTTACACATCATTCATTCACTTAATAGAAACGCCTTAGAAGCCAGGTGCTCTTCCAAGACCTGGGGACACAGGCATGGCAAGAATAACACAGACCCAAATCCCTGTCCCCCTGGAGTGCACATTCTAGAGGGAGAGATAGAGAGTGAAGAAGGTGCGGGAAGATGGCGCGGGGCCTCGCCAGCCTCCTCTGGGTAGGGGGAAGCCACCGGAGGACTGGCACACAGAAGCCTCTGACCCTGGGTGGGGAGTAGACGGTGGGGGCCAAGGGTGGATGGTGGATGCAGGTATCCAGTTGGGAGCTGTTGCAATGACCTGGAGCGTGACCAGGACAACTGCGTGGTGAGAATACAGGAAGCTTTTATTTTCTTCTTTGAGCTTTTCTATAGTTTCTAAACCTCTGATAGTGACCATTACTTGTGGGTACCTGTAATTAACAGTTTAGAATCTCATCCACCTTTCAGCTTCCAACCCAAAGGATGCCTCTCCCGGGAATCCTGCCTGGGTTCCCAGCCACCCGGACACACACCCCTCTTCTGTGACTGCCCAAGGCCCAGCACACCGGGAATAAGAAGGGGTCCATCTTTCCGCCCTAGCCAGGCTGGAAGCCCATTCCTGAGGCCAATGGCCTCCCAGGGACACACACAGAAACCCCAGGAGCCCTTAATTCTGTGGGAATTAAGGGGGTCCCCAGGTTCTGTCCCCGCCTCCAGGACTAAAACCAGGCCCCTTTGTCCTCTCATCTTTGCCTGTTCCTCCAAGTCTGTCACATACCAGGGAGGCTCTTGGAAGCCTGGAGACAAGGAATCCATTAAACGAGGGAGCCCCAGTGGTTCCCCAGAGGGGCCCTCATAGGAGACTGGGGAGCCCAGGTGGACAGGGCACACCGGCCATCACCTGTCTAGGCCTTCCTCCTTAGAAGTGTGTGTGCTCAGGACTTCCCTGATGGTGCAGTGGTTAAGAATCCACCTGCCAATGCAGTGGACAGGGGTTCGAGCCCTGGTCCGGGAAGATCCCACGTGCTGTGGAGCAACTAACCCCGTGCGCCACAGCTACTGAGCCTGTGCTCTAGAGCCCACGCGCCACAACTATTGAGCCCACGTGCCACAACTACTGAAGCCCGCGTGCCTAGAGCCCGTGCTCCGCAAAAAGAGAAGCCACCGCAATGAGAAGCCCGCGCACCACAACAAAGAATAGCTCCCACTCGCCGCAACTAGAGAAAGCCCGCGTGCAGCAACGAAGACCCCACGCAGCCAAAAATAAATAAAGTTTATTAAAAAAAAAAAAAAAGAAGTGTGTGTACCCGGATGGGGGTGAAAGGTTCTATAGCATTAGGACCAAACTGGCAACATTTTGAGGAGAGGGCCCCTAACTCACAGACCAGGGCCCTGACCCTGGGGTCTGTGTGATACCCCAGGCTGGCTCTGGGCTTTCCTGCTCACTCAGAACCCAGAAGAAGTTGCCCCCAGCCACCAGGCTCCAGTCAGGGGCAGCTCCGGTTTCCCAAGCCTGGGCTGGGCCCCAAAGTCCTTGCCTGCCCCCAGGCTGCTGCTCCGCACTGCCCTGCCCCCCAGCACCGCCCACACTTCGCACCACCCACAGCCCAGGGTCAGGAGGAGGCAGCCCAAGAGGGCGCCCCGCATCTGGATGGGGTGCGATCGAGGCGGTCAGAGGAATTCACCGGCGCCCAGGATGGCCTGGGGCGGGGCGTGGGTGGGGCTTCTGGCCAGGCCAGCCCACCCGCATCGTCTCACCTGCTGTGCTCACTTCGCCGCTGCCCAAGAAAGGGGCGCTGTGGTTCAGCCCCAGGGGCAGCTGCTCCGGGAAGCCGCCCCCAGCCCTTCCCCATCCTGGAGGGTTCCGGGTCTACCCTGGAAACATCGCCCGGCTCCTGCCAGCTGCCCCTCCCTGCCGTCGGGCTGCGCCTGCCTCTTCCCGGCCCCTCCAGAAACTGGAGGGACAGCTGGGCACTGTCTGCGTCAGTTTGGAACAAGAGCCAGTGCCCAGCTGTCAACCTCACCACGCTGCCTTCCATGTGGCTTCTCGGAAGTCCTCCTGGGACACAGACCCACGTCACTAACCCCTCGCCCACTTCTCCTCACCCTGGCTCTGAACCCACCCCACAAGGCCCCAAGGCCTTGAATGAGCCCCTTTCCGCCCACCCCCCCTCCCACACGCCCCCCGCCACTTCCCAGGCACAAGACCCCGGGGGGCTGAGCTCTGCTCATCTTTCCTCAGCTGGATTGGACACGCCCCCAAAGCCGGTCTGACTTACGCCCATGGCAGGCGAGCTGTCACGTCCCCTAGGAAGCCCCTCCCCAGCAGGGGTTAGAGGCCCTCCCTGTGCTCCCACTGCCCACCCCCCCTTAGGGCACTGAGTACTTGGAGTTGTCACTGTCTGATGTCCTGCCGTCCCCCCACCCTGTTTGCAGCTCAGCATCTGAGGGGTCCCGGGGGCCGGGGCAGGGAGCGAATGATGGGCCAGTGCACAAGGGGCTGCTGTCTCTGCAGTTCCGAGGAGCTGCCCCCTCCCTCGGTCCCAGGGTCACAGGGTCCCTGTGGGTATCGGATGCCCTCCTCACCCGGGTCTGAGCTGGGCACTTTGCCCTCTCAGTCCCTCTTTCCCTGGTCCGGGAAGAGCCCAAAGTATTAAAACACAAGCACACATCCTGGGTCTACTCCTCTTTTATCACATCCCAGCTCAGGGATGTTGGGCAAGTTACAGCTCCTTCCTGAGCCTTACTTTCCTCATCAAAAAGCAGAAATACCTCCTTCCTGGGGCAGAGGATCAAGTGGGAAAAAAACTGTGAACACCGTGCTCAGCCGATGCTTAGCAAACAGCAGACACTGAATACAGGGACACGCGCTTTCTGCTTCCAGATGTGCGGCTGCAGCCCCAGAACAGAGACTCATCTCACCACCAGGAAGCAATGCTACCCATCCCACCTCCTAGCACGGCCGGGCAGGGGGGCCGACTCGGATTTCTAGTGAGGCCTGGGGAACCCCGGGTCCCCAGTGAGGCCCCCACTAGGCAGACCCATCAGTCCGCGGGGGCAGAAGCTCGGGGACTGCAGCGCTGTGAGAGGAGGCCATGCCCAGGTGTGAGGGGGGCTTCCCTAGATCCTGGAGGAAAGGGGCAGCGCTGGGGAGGGGGGTCTGGGGAAAGGCAGGACCGCACAACGGTTAGAGCAGTTTGGGGGAGCCAGACAGGCGGGGTTCAGAGCTGATCCCACCTTGAGCCTCGGTTTCCTCATGTGTAAAAATGGGCTTGACTGACCATCTTACTGGCCCACGGCAGGAGGCGGGAGGGTGTCTCCCAGCAGCCTGCTTGCTTTCTGCATGATTCAGCACCCTCGTCTGGGTGGGTTTGTGTGTTTGCCAGAGACTGTGTCTTGTCAATTTCGCCCCCAGACACAGACCCGCAAGAGTGTCGGGCGAGCCGGATCCCCAGGCAGCCTGGGCGGTGGTGGATGCCGGGAACCAGCCGCCAGGGGGCCAAGCTGGTCAGACACTTCATTAATGACTAAAGCCACATGCTCTTACTGCAAGAGTCCAGGAGAGACACATGATTCCCGGCAGGGGTGCACATTTGCGGCTTTCAAGCCTCGCAAATACCGAAGGAGTCAAAATTTCCTTTTAGCGGTTGGTCCTTCAAAGCCCGTTGTCCTTGAATGACAGCCTTTCGGAGCAACTAAAGCCTTGGGAAGAGAAGGCCGACCCTACTGTGGGCCCTTCCCATCGGCACCTGTGCCCAAGACAGAAGGATGCAGCAAAGGAATGTGGCACAGGGAAGTGTCAACAGGGCACAAAGGAGCACAACCCTTCTCCCACCGGGAGAGAAACTCCCACCTGCCGGTCCTGGGCCCTCCCCTAGAGGGAACTGGCAGTGAGCCCCAGGCCCGGCCATTGCTGGGACTCACAGGAACTTCCTAAAAATGCAGACGCCCAGGCTCCCCTCTAGACCAGCTAAATCAGCATCTCTGGGGTGCAGGTGAGAAGTCCTTATTTATTACAGCCCTGCATTCAGAGGGTAGTTAGGTTCAGAAACCTGAACTGAGTCTCTGCTCACCCTTCCCAGACTTGGGGAGGAAGAGGGAGGGATACTTTTCATGCTCTGTTCTTTAAGTGGAAGGATTTTCTATCAGTCGTGACAACCGGTCTCTAAACAGTTCCAATCGGTGGCTTCACCCAGGAATCCAGCTGGTTGCCAGGATACCAGGCCCCGGGGCCTATCACAATCTCAGAGGGGCACCTGGTCTCCCGGTGGCTCGTGGCCGGGGGTCTGGCGGCCGAGGAAGTGTCAGCGGCTGGTCACAGGTGGCGAGCTGCTTCCCAGACGATCTGCAGGGCCATGGAGGCGCAGGGAAGCTGGGCCAGGGTGTAGGCCAGAGAGCGGGTGGGCGCCCGCAGCTTGCCCAGGTAGGCCACGGTGTGTACCATGCGGCCCAGGAAGACGACCAGGAAGTGCACCCAGGCAACGAAGGGGTCAGGCCCCAAGAAGGAGTAGACGAAGCCCAGGAACAGGAAGGGGTAGATGGTCTCCATGTCATTCCGGTGGGCTCTGGGAAGGCAAGGGGGTGCAGTCAGCCAGGAGTCGGCTTTGAGAATGTCCTGGGAGCTGAGACCCTCTGCCCCGAAAGGCCCCACACCCCTGGGGACCACCTCGGGGGTGCCAGACTCACGTCCGTCATGGCCAAGACAAGGAGATACCCCAGAGGCAGGGGCGACGGTGACTCCAAGCTCGTGCCGGTGAGCAGCTCAGAAAGTGAACCCTGTTAGCAGACCGGGAGCCACGAAGGGCTGCTGGTTGGTTTTCTTAGCAGCCCCTGCCATGGTCTCCCCTATCTTCCCCTCTGGCCTTGGACACCAGGCAGGAACAGTGGGGCTCAGTGGGGTTGAGTGAAAGCTGGGCTGGAGCCTCGGTCTGCCTCCAGCCGCTGCTCTTTTATTTATTTTTTTTTAATTTTGGCCACGCCATGCAGCCTGCAGGATCTCAGTTCCCCGACCAGGAATTGAACCCGGGCCACAGTAGTGAAAGCGCCAGGTCCTAACCACTAGACCACCAGGAAGCTCCCCAGCCCGTGCTCTTTACCACCAAGGCAGGGCTTTTCTGAGGTCGTCCTCCTTCCAAATGCAGGTTCCTGGGCCCTCCCCAGAGGGATGGGCTAAGAACACGCATCTGAAATCCACGCCTGGCTCTGTCTTCTTCTGCCCCTAAATCTAAGCGAACCCTTCCTCCTCTCAGGGATAATAAGGACAACTTGCACTTACTGGAGCCAGCCAATCGCCGGCCAGCGGCGAAGCTCTGTTTCATCCGCGCTATCCTGTTTCTTTCTTTGTTTAAAATATCAAGTGTGTGAGTATATGTGGTGGTGGGGGGGAGGGGCAGCTGTGTATAACGCTGCCATAAAAAAATGACCGACAAAGAAAACTCATCCACTTCTGCTCAGAGTTGGTTCACATTTTCCATGATTCCTACTAATGGGCAGCATCCTCTGTGGAGGGTGGGGAGGTCAAGTCCCATAAATTAGACACTGAGCAAATGACCAAAGCCAGAGATGGCATGTTGGAAGCGCAAATAAACAGGAACGCGGTGCCTGGGCCGTGACCTCCCCCAAGGACAGGCCACGTGTGTGAGGCACGGGTACGCTTCTAGAACTAAAGCTCCTTCTCCAAGCCTTCCAGCTGGAGTGCATCTCACCAACGCTGCACTAACGGGCCAAGCCCAGCCCAGCAGCCCCTGTGTGGGGACCTGCCGCGGAGTCCTCCGCTTCCCTGCCACTTGCAAGGACCTCAGGCAAGGGCCAGGGTATGTGGACGCTAGGAATTGGGCAGGGCAGAGGGGAGAAGCACTCAGCAACCCAGGGCGGCAGGGGTCTCTGTGGCATGACTAGGGTGGGTGTAGTCAGGGAAGGAGACGTTGTACTGAAGCCTGAATGATGAGGGGCCATCTGTGCAGGGGAAGAACTCTCCAGGGAGAAGCATGGGCCTGTGCAAAGGCCCTGAGGTGGGAATGAGCATTGCGTGTTCAAGGCTCAGAAAAGTGACCCGTGTGGCTGGAATGTGGCACGTAAGAGGGAGGGAGACAGGGTAAGAGGGGGAGAGGGGCCTCATGAAGCAGGGTAAGGGGTCTGGAATTCAATCTGAGTGTACAAAAGCTCCCATAAACCCAGCAGGGCCTGGATCTTAGGTCAAACTCAGGACACCGCAGTTGGTGTCTCTGTCCCCATATCCTGGAGCCAACATGAGTCTTCTTTCTCCTTTATTCCCAAAGCTTGACCTTGGGACACAGCCCCAGGGAAGGCAAGTCTACAGCAGGGCAGGTCTCACCAGCTGAGGGAAATACTGCTGGATGCATGTGAGAGAAGCAGGCCGTGGCCAGATCTTGGCTACAGCGATGAAGAGGGGGAAGCTGAGGACTGGGGCCGTTTCAATTCCTCGATCGAGCAAGTCCCTTACCTTACTGGGGAAGAGGCAGCAACTGTTGCTCTAAAATCATGCTATTTAACCCCATGCTGTGGACATACACCTGTGTACACCAACATCCCCTAACATGCTATGAGACAGACACCTTGGAAAACCTATTTTACGTTAAGTCAGGGTGTCCTAGAAGGTGGTCTTCCTCCCACAGGTTGACTCATGAGATGGTACCAGCTAGGAGTATTTTTGTCATGTTGTATATTTCTCGGAAAGTTTCAGGAAAAGCGTAACTAGCGCATGAAACCCGTTCAATGAGACACTTCTCCTTAAAGCATGTATTTACATTCTGAGAGTGAGTCACTTTTTAGAAAGCTGTTGAGAGGATCGTCGGCCAAACCCCACAGCACAGGTGAGGGAAAGAAGTGGGGGGACACCAGGCACAGAAGAGGAATAAAGATGGGAGGCGCAGCCCTCCCTCCTGGCTCCAGCAACTGGGACTAGAGGATTCAGAGGTCACCTTTGAGGGAGGAGAGGTGGCTGGGAGCTGAGAAAGACCCTCAGCCCCTGGTGTGCCCAGTCCCCACGGAAACTGCCATGGGGCCGCCACGAAGCCACAAGTGGCGCCGAGGACAGGCGTGATGCCAAGAAAACTCATTCCTCTCCTCCCCGCCGCCCCTACCCCGGGATCCGAATTGAGAGACATGGAGGGAGTCACGTACCAGAGAGATGTTTGGGCAAAATGTGTCATTCCACTAATGACCAGTTTTTTAAGGTAAAAACCACTCAGAGCAAATTCCCACTAGACTGGACTTGCATGGCTCCCTGCAGCGTCAGGCCTGCCTCTCTCGTCAACAGACACTGCAACACTGGCTGCCTTTTATTGCATCCGGCGACAGGACTGCGGAGAGAGCCCTACAGTTCCCCCCAGGCTTCCTGGGCAGGGACAGCTGCTGGCAGCCCCGCTAGCTCTCTCCTCTTCCCTTCCCAGGCTCTCCATCTGCACGGGTGATTTCCTTGAATTCAGGTTTGATATGAGGTGAAGCCTGCTTAGTTTTAAAGGCAGGTTATAAAACAGAGTTAAACCGCCTTCTTGAGAGGAGAGCAGAGCCCATATCAGATGGCCTGGGCTCACGAGCGATGTGGCCTTGGCAAACCTGCTTCTTCCTCTACTGATGCTAGTGCCGCCCTTGGAAGCCTACTGGGAGGCAGAGTGGGTTGGTTCCTATAAAGTGCTTAGAACACTGCCTGGCACGGAGTAGTTTTGCCCCAATTTAGCTGCCATCTTCTTTGGCACCGTCATCATCACCGCCAGCCCTGTCCCGGACATGATTGCTGAAGCTAATTTCAGCTCTTGGTTTTGCCAGAATCCCAGCGCCCTCAGACGCCCAGGCCAAATTCATAAACATTTTACGGTGCGAGGCTAGCAGCCTCGCACCTCCCCAAGGGTGCTCGTTAGACCCCTGGCCTCAGGCAGGTCTCTGTCTCTGGACCTCTTTTCACCATCCACAAAATAATGTGTTTGGATGGGGTCTTAAAGGACTTCTAGGGCTGAGATTTTGTGACCCAGTCTCCTGAAAAACCAGTTCACTCAGATTAAGTCTCCGCACCACACTCCAAATAATCAGAAATATCTCAAAGTCTGGGTCAAGTGTTTGTTTTCCTTCTTCGGGACCACACAGAGACACACCCCCCCGCCGGCCCCAATGAAGCTGCATATTCACATGAACTCAGAATCTGGCCCAAACCTACATGGCCGGGAGACTTCGATAGGAATCACTCAAAGGACGTGGCTGGGTTTCATCATTGTCCTTGAAACCTGGTTCCTGACCCCTCCCAGAGCTGGTCTCACATTTGGGCTCCAGCCTGAGCTAATCTGCAAGGCAGATCTGTGCTCCAAGAACTGAGACCAAAGTGCTTTCCTGTTTGTGCAGAAGGCGGCCCTGGTTGCACTAAAACCTCTGGTCTAATATTTAACTCACTTCTGCTTTCAGGGCGTCTCCTGTCAGGTTCCAGCCAGTTCTCCGGTAGCGGATGGCAGGATGTGTGATCCCCTGCGCCCTCGAGGTTCCATGATGTTATGTAAAGTCAGCAGGAGCCCTGGGGCCCCAGGAACCCCCAGGTCCGGCATAGTAAGCCCCAGTAAATAACAGTACATGGAAGGTCACCAACAACACTCACCAAATGAATATGACATCATTAGCTAAGAGGTGCTCAAAGGGTGCTGCATTGGGCACTATTTACGAGAGCCGGGTTATAGAAGCAACCTAAATGCCCATCGACAGACGAATGGATAAAGAAGATGTGGTACATATATACAATGGAATATTACTCAGCCATAAAAAGGAATGAAATTGGGTCATTTGTAGAGACGTGGATGGATCTAGAGACTGTCCTACAGAGTGAAGTAAGTCAGAAAGAGAAAAACAAATATCGTATATTAACGCATATATGTGGAACCTAGAAAAATGGTACAGATGAACCGGTTGGCAAGGCAGAAACAAAGACACAGATGTAGAGAACAAACGTATGGATGCCAAGGGGGGAAAGCGGCGGGGGTGGCTGCTGGTGGTGGATGAATTGCGAGATAGAGATTGACATGTATACACTAATATGTATAAAATGGATAACTAATAAGAACCTGCTGTATAAAAATTAAATAAAATAGGGCTTCCCTGGTGGCGCAGTGGTTGAGAGTCCGCCTGCCGATGCAGGGGACGCGGGTTCCTGCACCGGTCCGGGAGGATCCCACACGCCGCGGAGCGGCTGGGCCTGTGAGCCATGGCCGCTGAGCCTGCGCGTCCGGAGGCTGTGCTCCGCAATGGGAGAGGCCACAACAGTGAGAGGCCCGCATACCGCAAAATAAATAAATAAATGATAAATAAATAAATAAAATTCAGGGACTTCCCTGGTGGCACAGTGGTTAAGAATCTGCCTGCCAATGCAGGGGACACGGGTTTGAGCCCTGATCCGAGAAGATCCCACATGCTGTGGAGCAGCTAAGCCCGTGCGCCACAACTACTGAGCCCGCGCGCCTAGAGCCCATGCTCCGCAACAAGAGAAGCCACCGCAATGAGAAGCCCATGCACCGCATCAAAGAGTAGCCCCCTCTCGCTGCAACTAGAGAAAGCCCGCGCGCAGCAATGAGGACCCAACGCGGCCATAAATAAATAAATAAATAGATGGATAGATAGATAGAATCCGCCTGCCAATGCAGGGGACACAGGTTCGAGCCCTGGTCCAGGAAGATCCCACATGCTGCGGAGCAGCTAAGCCCGTGCGCCACAACCACTGAGCCCGTGTGCCTACAGCCCGTGCTCCACAACAAGAGAAGCCACTGCGATGAGAAGCCCGCGCACCGCAACGAAGAGTAGCCCCCGCTCACCGCAACTAGAGAAAGCCCGCACGCAGCGAGGACCCAACACAGCCAAAAATAATAATAATAATTAATTAATTAAAAAAAGAAAAGTGTTGAATTGGGGAATTCCCTGGTGGTCCAGTGGTTAAGACTGGGGTGTTTTCACTGCCGGAGGGCCCGGGTTTGATCCTTGGTTGGGGAACTAAGATCCCACAAGTTATGTGGTACAGCCAAAAAAAAAAAAAAGTGCCGAATTGAATTTCAGCTACTTGAGTATGAGCACTGTAGATGACGTGTCCTTTTGTTCAGAAATGAAAATCGTGTTGGGTGGGTGGAGACATCGCGGTACCACACGGGTGTGTGGTCTCTCCCTGGCATGGTTGCAGCCAATATAAACAAAGTGTTCATGACCCTGTGTAACCACCCCTGTGCCACAAGTAACGCAAGTTTTGCTGCACAGACCCCTCACCCCTTGGGAGAAGCCAAGCACTCTGGGTGGCTGCTCTGAGCTGGCCTGGCAACCGGCTGCCCCTGCTACTCATCACACGCTTCTCCACTGCCCCGGAGAGTCATGCCAACCAGGTGGCATGAGGGTCACCAGTATGGATTCATGTACGGGTGAGGCTTTTGTTCACCAAAGCACAACGAGTGCTTAGCACGGTAGCTAGCACATGGTCGGTGCTCGTTGAATGTTGAATGAACGGATAGATGGATGGATGGATGGACCTCGTATGAAGGACTACACACTGTAGTTACATTAGAAAGGATGAAATAGCAATGAATTTCACTTTCTACATTATACATTTCTGTAATTTTTAAAAACCACAAGTGCGTGTTATTTTCAATGGCCAAGAAAAAGAAAAGAATCTCTATTATTTATACCACTTGGTCCCACCCATTTCTGCCGGTGATTCATGGGAATGTGACAAGAACTAGGTGAGGGCTTGTGTCTGTCTCACTCCTGTCCAGCTACCCATCCTCCCCACACCCATCCCACACCTGCTGACAACCCCCATCCCCTGGGAGTGCTTCCTCCTGGCTCTCCAGCCCATTGGTGTAAAACTGCAGAGAGGAAACTGCTAAAATACCCACCACTGAGACTGGCTACGTGAAATTAACCTTTAGTCTCTGATGGAATTTTACACGGCCTTTATGTATTTATTTGTTTATGGCCCCACATGTGGCTTGTGGATGTCAGTTCCCTGATGAGGGATTGAACCTGGGCCACATCAGTGAAAGCACCGAGTCCCAGCCACTGCACCGCCAGGGAACTCCTTCTGCCTCCCTTTTTTAAGAATCACTTTTCGAGTAGTATTTACTGACATGGAAAGTGCTCATGAAATAATTAACTGAAAAAAAATCAGAACGCCCAGTTGGGTGTACCATGCACACCTAGTGTTATGAAAAATATTTAGACGACAAAGAGGAGACAGATGAACACGTTAACAGTGACAAGAATTGTGAGTGGTTTTCCCCTTTTGGCTCTATGTATTTTCAGTATTAACCAAATTGTTTGCAATGACTAGTTCTGAGTTTTATAATAAGAAAAATTGCTTTAGATTGACTGGGGGATGCTAAGCATATGAAAAAACGTTCAACTTCACTCAGAAATGCGAAGTAGGGAATTCCCTGGCAGTCCAGTGGTTTGGTCTCTGTGCTCTCACTGCTGAGGGCCTGAGTTCGATCCCTGGTCAGGGAACTAAAATCCCATAAGCTGCACAGCACAGCCAAAAAAAAAAAAAAAAAGAAATGCAAAGCAAAACTGAAATGTGATGTATATTTTCACCCATCATGTTGGCAAGGATCCACCCAAAAGTGGATACAGAGTTAGCGGGGTCGGAGACACGTCTCACACACCAGTTGTGGGTCTAGACTTGTGTACCATTTGACAGGATTTCTTACCATTTGATCGCAGCCCGCAGTTTTGCTCACACTGACGCACAAAGGAAAATGAAAGAAGCTTCGATGCACTCTGTTCATAACACAGAGAGACTTAGAACAGCCTAAATGCCATCGGAGGGTAAGTGGTTGGACCAGCTACGGACCATCTATTTAATAGAGAAATGGCGTAAATGCTACAGTGCCGACGTAATGAACGAGGCCCCTCTATGGGCTGATATGAAACAATTTCTGTTATGTGAAGAAAGGACAGTATAAGTCAGTGGGTGAAGAGTGATCCTTTGGGGGTAAAAAGGAAAAAGCATAGCGTGTGTGTAGTAAATGCAGGAAAAGTGTCTCGGAGAAGATGCATAAGACATTGGTAACAGCACTGGCCCCTGGGGAGCAGATCTGGGCAGGACCTGCAGGTCAGAGGTGGGAGAGAGACTGAAATTGCACTGAACCTCCTATTCCAACTTTGTCATCCTGAGCCACGAGCACATATCACTTTTCCACGAGTCACTAGAACTTAAATTAATGAATAAATGAAAACAGTCTAAGAGGATCTGGAAGGCAGAAGACCTAGGCCCCCTGGGCATCCTCCAAGCCCCCGTGTTCAGAAGAGGGCCCGAAAGGACAGGCCATGATCAGGCTGAGGGGCCAGTGGTACTTGCCTGAGACAACGTTCCACATCTGGGTCGCTCCGGCAATACTGGAGGCCTCCGTGTCTCTGAGCATCCTCAGGGTTGGCAAAAGCCTGGAATACATCAGCAGAGAGTTACCGTTCGTGAGATGGACGGCCCAGTCGACTAGGTCCGCGGCGATGCAGGCAGGCACATACGTGGCCATTCACCAGCACCCATGAACTCTTACTGCGTGCGAAGTGCAGGAGACTCACCGTGAACAAGGCTGCTATGGACTAAATGTTTGTGTCCCTGCAAATTTCCTATGTTGAAGCCTAACCCCCAGTGTGATGCCTTTAAGGAGGCAGTTAGGTCATAAGGGTGGGGCTCTCTTGAATGAGATTAGCACTCTTATGAGAGACCCCAGAGAGCTGCCTCACCCCTTTGCCAAGTGAGGACACAGCAAGAAGAGAGCCATGTATGGACCAGAAAGTAGGCCCTCATCAGACACCACCTCGGCCGGTTCCTTGACCTCGGACTTCCCAGCTTCCAGAACTGTGAGAAATAAATTTTTGTGGCTGATAGGCCACCCAGTCTCTGGCATTTTGTTGTAGAGCAGCCGGAAAAGACTAAGAAAAAGGCCCTCCTATCTCTGCTCTTGTGAAGCCCACAGTGTAATGAGGGAATTGCCAATGAACCAGGGAAGACCAGGTGGTGAGTGTTGAGAAACAGAAGACTGGGTGTGCTTTGAGAATGTTCACAGGAGACCCAACCAAGGCTGGGGATCAGAGAAGGCTTCTCTGAGGCAGTGACAGTAGAGCTGAGGCTTGAAGGATGCATCAACCTTAACCAGAAGGAGGGAGGGTTATAGCAATAGCATACGGAACAGCATGTGCAAAGGCCCTGGGGTCAGAAGAAGAGCATGTATGAAGAAGGAAAAACCAGCATGGCTGGAGCATAGACAGCAAGGGACAGAGTTCCAAGATAAAGCTGCAGGGGTCAGCAGGGGTCCTGGAGGCAGGAGCCTAAGAATTTAAACTTTGAACTAAGAGCAATGAGAGGGTCTTGACAGGTCCCGGTGAGAAACTCAGCTCCACACCGACTAACTGCAGGTTTCTGAACTTCCCTGGGTCTCAGCTTCCTCATCTGTGAATTCCAGATCAAATGAGGTTCATCTACCACATGAAGAGCAAAGGAGAGAAGTGGAGACGCCCCAGCACAGCGCCAGGAGGGCGCTCGCTCGGTGAATTGTCAATGCAAAAGAGGGACTTGAGGTCACACTCAGGTCACTGGAGGTCACACCCGTCGCTCTTGCTGCACTGTTCCCTGCGGGCATCCAGCCAGCCAGCCCCACCAACCCCACAGCAAACCTGAATCTCTGTAGCACGTTTTCTAAATTGCATATCCTGCTGCTTCTGATTCATGAGCCCTTGAGATATCTGTTCCCAAGTGCTGGGGTTTTTTTTTTTTGTCCTGCCTGGTGGGTCTGCCCCTGCTCCAGCCCAGAGGTGAATGCAGCGCTTGTCACCATGAGGATTCCCCAACGCCCAGAATTCTTCTCTGCTGGCCCTTAAGTCATGGAATCACCAATTCTGATGGCCCTGCAGAGTCCGTGGGCCTGTGACACCTTTCTCAGGGTCTCGGCATTCAGTGGGCAGCTGTCTTGGGTGTCCACGGTCCATGGGTTTGCTCACCCCTGAAGACAGCATGAATACAAGTTGGCCTGGCCAGGAGCCAGCGGCAGTGCAGACAGGGATAGAGCCCCAGCGTCAGAAGCATAAGCACTGCCTCTAGCTGGGGCCAGGGTCAGGCCTCGAGATACACTCCCACCAAGAGATCTCTGGCCTGTCGTGTCAATTCCAACTGTTAATAAGTAATGAAGACTTAACGCTGGTGGGGCATTTGCTCCGTGCCAGGAGCTGTATTCTCCTGGCACTGCTGTGACCATCCTCAGTTTACAAATGAGGAAATTATGCTCTCAGACTTGCCCATGGTCCCGAGGCTAATGGGTGGAGGAGCCAGAGCCGGCATCCGTCACCTCCCCAGGCATCCGTCACCTCCCCAGGCATCCGTCACCTCCCCACGGTGTGGCTTCCCCAGCTCCTCCCTGACTGACTGAATGAGAGGGAAATTTGTAGTGTAGGGAGAACCGGAGCCAGCCCAAGGGGAGGTTTCCTTCTGCCACTCCCTACTGACCCAGTAGACAGGCACCCCAACAGGTTTGCCTCTTCCTTCCCTAATTCACATTAAAAGAAAAGCTCTGGGCCCCGCACGGCCCTGGTGAGAACCCCATCCCCGCCATGGCAGGGAGTGGGCTCCGGAGCTGGGCCCCTGGGCTCCAACCCCGCTGTGTGGCCTTCACAAGAGATGTCTCCTCTCTGAGTTCAGGTTCCTCAACTGGATGACACGCTGAATACGCCCCCACCCCGACTCCCCCCGCCCCCCGGGCGGTGGTGGGGATTAAACGCTCCATGGAAGGACTCAATGGGTGAACACGGCTGTCCCTGCTTGCTGCCTGTATCTTGCATCCCAGGATGGGCCGGGGCAGGGAGAAGTCAGCACGATGCGTGTGCCTCTGCTTTGGGAGTTCGTTCACCCGGGGAGCTGCCCTGCCTTCGGTCCTGCCCGTACCTGCTAAGCCCTGCTGCTGAGCAACCTTCCTCTCCCCAGTGTCCACCCTCCGCATGGCACGACGTGGGCGCCGGCCTTGCCTCGCCTCGGAACTGGACGAAGGGGCACGGTCGGAAACAACTCCTCTCTGAAATACCTGGGGGGGTGATCAGAGGTACCCCTGGGCTTCTCTTTGTCTAACAGGACGGCTGCTGCCACTTCCCTGGCCCTGGCTGCCCCGCGGGCTAGCGGCCGCCCTGGAACAGGTCCACCCGCCCCCTTGCTCCCACCCCCCGCCCCGCCCGCCCCCACCGGCTCAGATCTTGGCGTCTTTATTGCTGTTTTGGCTCCAGGATTCGGATTGGCGGATCGGTGGGGGAAATTCCTCCCCGAGAACTTCAGCGCAGCCTGCCTGAGACCTGGCCTCTGGAGGGAGGCTGCGGTGGGTTTGGGAGCGACCTTGCCGGGCGAGCTGGGAATTTCCACTTAAAGGCTTCTCTGGCCTCCTGTTCTGACGGTTCCCACCCCACCCAAACATCAGATCTCCGGTGCGGGAAGCCGCCAGGTCGGACGGAGGCTGAATGCTGCCTCACTCCACCCTCTGGGACCTGCTTCTCTCTGAGTCGCCGGCCTAGCTCAGCGGGACTCGTGGAGTCCTGCTGTGCGGAGAACTCACCTGGTGGCACGGTAAATGGTAAATGCTTTTAAAACAGAGGAAAAGGAGGTGCGGGCCCCGCTGAAACCAAGGGCCGCAGAGAAGCCATCCCAAAGGGCTGCGAGAGGCACCTGGTCCCGAGCCCGCTCGCTCAAACTCTGGCCCCGAAAACATCTGGGCCAAGGGTCCCGTCCCCAACCTTCCCGGCAGTGGGAGAAGGGAGCGCACGCGGGGCTGGGGTCCCCGAGGGCGGCACGTACCTTCTTCCGAAGCCTCACTTGGCCCGTGATGATGGCCACCACGTACATCTTGATGACTAGCAGCGTGCTGCAGAGCAGGAAGGCCGGGAGCACCCGGCCGCTCATCAGCTCCAGGCCGGGGGGAGGCATCTCGGCGGTGGCAGCAGCGGCGGCAGCTCCGGGAGAGACAGCGAGCGGCTGCGAGCTCGGGCGCGTGGCTCTGTCTCCGAGAGCAGGGAGGGGCGGGGAGAGCACGCGGGAGGCTTGTCTGCACTCGGCACCCGCCCACCTCCCAGCAGCCGCAACTTCTGCCCCCAGATGCTGGGAGAAGCAGAGAGCCAGGGGGGCTCCCGATCGGGCCCCTGGCCCCGCCCCACCCCTCCCTGGCAAATCCTTAAACGCTTTCTAATCAGTTTCCTCAATCTGTCAAGTGGGGGGGTGGATGCCAGTGCCTGTCTTCAGGGCGTGCAGCAAAGCCAGGAGCCTGGCAGGACTTCCACAGGTGGCAGAGTCACTGATCTGTGGCCGCCGCCCTGAGGGTCAGGGTGTGAGAACCAAGCTATCTGTCCCCACGTTCAGCCTGGACACTTGAGCCACAGCCAGACCTACATTGATGTGACTTTGCTGAATTGTGCTCCTCCTACCCCCGCCCCCAAAGATGTCCACATCCCAGTCTCCAGAGCCTGTGACTATGTCACAGAACGTGGCAAAGGGCCTTTGCAAGGGCTGAGTAAATGTCTTCAAATGGAGAAATTATCCTGGATTCTCTGTGAATGCAGTTGAATCAGAAGGGTCCTCCTAAGAGAGAGGCAGTAGAATTAGGGGGAGAAAAGATGTGAAGACAGCAGAGGTCAGAGAGGAGAGAAGATGCTACACTGCTAGCCTTGAAGGTGAAAGGAAGGTGCACCATAAAACGCAGGTGGCCTCTAGGAGCTGGACAAGACAAGGAGACAAATTCTCCCCCGGAACCAGCCTTGTGGACACCTCGACTTTAGCCTCCGAAATCGATTTTGGACTTCTGGCCTCCAGAGCTGTGAGACAGCAGATGTGTGTTGTTTTATGCCACTACATTGGTGTTCATTTGTTACAGCAACTGTAGGAAACTAGCACAGTGGTCTACTGTCTTTTTCAGTATCACTTTACTTTGCCAGGAGACTCCCAGGCAAATGGTTTCATTGTTCATCACAGGAACTTCCCAAAAGAGCCAGTTCTTCGGTAGAAAGCATCAACAGCTCGTGACCCCTTTGAATCCCCTGCTTCAAAATCCTCACCCTGTTGTGTCCTCCCCTCGCCTTGGCCCCCTTCCCCAGGTTTGGGGTGGGACCTCAGTAGAGGCAGGGATCTTATCCCTTTAGTTTTGCCAACACGGCTTGCTCCTGCTTGCAGGGGCACCCTGGGGAAGTGGGGAAGAGGGAAAACTCAGCTTCCGGTGCCCACTCCAATCTTGGACCTGCCCAGAAGGACAGCAGTGTCAGTCTTGTTACCTGAAAACTGGGTTCGCCTCTTGGTGGGTGTTGAGCTGAAAGACACACGAGCCAAAGGTGGGGGGAAGGAAGGATTTATTACTTGCAGCAAGTAAGGCGGACACCGGGGAGCTTTCCCAAAGCAGTGTCTGTTAACAGCAAAAGCGGGGAAGTTTTAAGCTGAGGGTACATGCGTATTCATAGAGGGGCTCGAGCAGAGGAGAATTTAGCGCAGAATTGGGGCAGAGGTCAACCGCATCCAAGCTTTAGGTCATTGAAGTCAGGAGGGTCAGAAAATGTTAGAGTCACCGTCCCCTAGGTTACAGTAGATCTGGTGGTCGGGCGCCTGAGGGGGGTGTTTAAATTCTGCAAAACATCTCGGGAAAGTGCTTCAGGCTATTGAAGCATCATTGAAACAGAACCAGGAGTTGTAACAACTGATAAATTATCTTTGTTATTGTTATTCCTCCTGCCTGATAACAGTTTGTTTTTCTGTTCCCTTAAGCTCCTTATTGCTGAGATCTGTTCAAGGACTAGCACTGTGGCCACAGCTTAGATCACAAAATGGCTTAGACCAAAACGGCTTCTCTTACGTCAGAAAACTATACCTGGTTCTTTTCCTGGTTGTGGTTCTGGCTTGTGCCCCAAAGCAGCAGAGACCAAGGAAAGACCGGGCCAGAGGGCAAAGACACTTGTGTGAACTCTAGAGCCAGACTCCGCTGGCATCAAACCCCAGAGCCTGCCCTCAGTGGCAGCTGTGTGGCTTTGGGCAAGCAACTTCCCTCTCTGAACCCACTTCTTCAACTGTCAAATGCAGCCGACGGTCAGTCACTCCCCACAGCAGCTATGGGATCTAGGAAGAATCATGTCTAATTATCAGGCACCTGGCACATAGTCGACCCTCCATCTGCAGAAGCCTCTGAGCCTCAGTTTCCCCTTCCTCAAAACGGGAATAATGATGCCTACCTAGCAGGGTTGCCAGGAGGGAGACTCTTGGAAACGCCCCCGCCGCTGAGGCTGGGGGCAGTAGGTTGGGGGTGGGGGACGTGAGGTGAAGGATGGCTTCTTGTCCATTTATATGTGCCAAGCCTTCCTTTAACTGGACAAAAGATGAGCTTGTAAACCGACACCCATGTCTCTGCAGCATGGGGCTGCCGGGCTGGGTTGTCCCAGCCCCATGAGATAAATGGTAGGTCACGATCACGGACGAACATAGAAGGCATTGGATGTCCTGAAACGTGTTTTATCTCTGACACTAGATTGGGAGGGACTGTGCTGTCTTGCTCCTTGCCGATGTTTTTGTCTGAGAACAGAGGACTCCCGCTTCTCTTGCCCCCAACTCAGGGGAACCACTGCAGGGGGCTGTCTTCCTTGTCAAAAAGCTCAGTTGCGGGGCTGGGATCTCTGCACCACCCCCAGAACTGTGGACCAGAGACAACCGAGAGGGGACGCTTGTGTTCATCCCTCCTTGGACCAGGGGGCGTGCTCTGCTCTGTTTGGTCTTCTAAAACAGCAAGATAGAAACCTCACCAGCAGAGGCCGGGAAAACCAGTATGGGCAAGGAGCAGATGATTACCTACTGTTACCCACAGCGGAAAATAAGAGGGACTTTGTAGGGATGCCCTTCTGACCCGTGTGTGTGACTTTGTGATAGGAATCTTTTCTTCATCGTCTGCTGAAACGAACCAGCTAAGCCAGGGCCCGGCAAGGATAACAAACCCTTCTCTGATCTTCCGCCAAGAATTTCCCTACAGCCTTCCTCAGTCAGTGGAGCTGCCCTTGTTGTTTTCGGTGGAGATGGTGACAGTGGTGTTACTTTTCTCCGAGCTCCAGTAACGTTCTTTGCATGGAAAATGGGATCGGTGCCCCCACCCCTGTGCCGCCTTGCAGGGTGGGGCAGGGACAGGGTCGGGGATGGGAGTGCTCACTGTGGGCCTGGCCCCAAGGCCCCCAGAAAATACACTGGCGCCTGCACAGAAATGACGGCAAGAGAGGGAATTCCCTGGTGGTCCAGTGGTTAGGACTCCGAGCTTTCACTACTTAGGGCTCTGGTTCAATCCCTGGTTAGGGAACTAATATCCAGCAAGCCAAGGGGTGTGGCCAAATTTAAAAAAAAATTTAAAAAAGAAAGAGGACAAGAGAAGGCCCTGAGACCACCCCGGGAGGAGGCCTCCTGGACGTTGGAAATGTTTTATGTCTTGACCCGGGTGATAGTTACCCAGGTGGATATATACATAAAAATTCACCGAGCTGTATAATCAAAACGTGTTACTATACTGTACTAAAAAAAAAACCCACAAATTTCTCCCGTCCCAATTCTACCACCCTGAGCAGACAGCAGCAGCCATGCCTGAGCCTTCTTCCAGCTCACCCTCCTCGGCATTTCCTGAGGATCAGAGACCCGGCTCTGCACGCTGTTTAATTGTCTGTGACTTCAGAGGAGGCTTAGAGAGAGGAGGAAGTTGCTCCACCTCGCCACCGGTTCCTGACCTCAGTGAATACTGCTGGGGCTCTCTCCAGCCAGGGAGGAGGAAACGCGGTGATAAAAATCACTGTCACTGAGTGACCTTTTAGGTCAGATTCGTGTTGTAGGCATCACCGTGGCATCAAGCCTCCTCAGAGAAGCAATGTTTGAGAAATGTGGTATGTGGTCTATGGGAGAGGCAAATGGAGATGAGTGAGTGCTTTCTGATGGCTCTGTAGCCCGTCCTGGGTCAGAGGTCCACCAGGTGGGAACCCTGGGCTCCCCTTGGGATGAGCACTTCAAGGAAGGACTGTTGTTTTTGTCTGCCACCTCACCTCTCCTTTCTACCTTCCTGTGGGAAATCACAACCTTCCTTTCCTTTCCTTGCACCCCGATTGCCTGTAACCCTGGTGGGGCAGCCAGACTACTGCATCTTCTTAGTGTGGGGCAGCCATGTGACACAGACCAGCCAATCACAATGTTCCTGGCATCTGGGCACTGCGATTGGTCCAAGCAGAGCCAATCAGAGACCTTCCCTGGGAGTTTATGTTCTGACACTGATGGAGAAATCCCTCTAGGCTCCAGGACCGGACCCTGGCCTGGTGTTGGCCTGAAGCAGTGTGCAGCCATTCCCTCTCCCCGCATAGAGGAGGTTGTATTCTCAAGGAAACAAAGAGGCCCCAATCTCTGACTCACCCAGGCCCAGGAGTCTAGGCACTTCCTTTTTAGCTTCAACAAAACATCAGTCAAATCACATTCCTCCTCTGCTCCAAGCTCTGCAGTGGCTCCCATCTCACTCAGAGCAGAAGCCAAAGTTTGGCCCATGGCCCATGGCCCTATCCCATCTGGTCCCCATCTGGTTCTCTCGGAACTCCTCTTCTCCTTCCTCCCCTCATTCATTCAGCCCAGTCACACCGCCCTCCTTGCTGGTCCTCAAACATGCCAGACACTGTCCTTTCTCTGATCCCTCTGCCTGGAATTCTCTTCCCCCAGCCATCCACTGGGTTGACAACTCATCTTCAAGTCTTTACTCAAATCTCAGCTTCCTCATGCGGCCCACCCTGATCACCTTAAATCAGTTCTGCATCCTGTCCCCACCCCCAGCACTCCGGATGCCGCCTCCCCGCCTTCACTTTCTCTTTTCTTTCCATAGCACATATCACTCACTGACACATCATATAATTTATTTAGTATCCTTACTAATACCTGGCTTTCTGGGGCAGGGGTCTCTTTTGTTTCCTGATGAACCACAAGCATTGGTCCCATGCCTGACATATAGACACAACTGTAATTTGTTGAATTGAACTGAATTAAGCTTATTTGACTTGGATTT